GCTAAGGTCACATCAGAAAAAGGTTGGGAAATGTTGTCAAGCCTGCGCTGTAATAAATAACAGGTTCTTCTCCGCTCTCCTTCCTGTAGGGCATTGGCTGCTACATGTTCCGGATCGATGACTCCGAGGTGGTAGATGCCACCATGCATGGAAACGCTGCCCGCTTCATCAATCACTCATGTGAGCCTAACTGCTACTCTCGGGTTATTAATATCGACGGGCAGAAGCACATTGTCATCTTTGCCATGCGCAAAATCTACCGAGGGGAGGAACTCACTTACGACTATAAGTTCCCCATTGAGGATGCCAGCAACAAGCTACCCTGCAACTGTGGTGCCAAGAAATGCCGGAAGTTCCTAAACTAAAGCTGCTCTTCTCCCCACTGTTGGAGCACTAGGACCCAGGGCCTCCAAAACAGTGCCGAAGGCCTTTGCCAGCAGCCAGGAGTTCCAGGATTGAGTGGGCACAGTTGAGGGGCCTCCGTGATGGCTGGGCTCCCTTAGGTCCCATATTCACATTATACATGTGATCATAGTCCTGGAGAGAGATGAGGTCTCGAAGAAAAGATCCGCGATCGGCTTTCTGCTGGGGCCCCTCTGATTGTGTGCCGTTAAAAAGCGGGAAACGGGTCCCTAGCAGACTTGCCTGGAAGGAGCCTATAGAGGGTTAGTTATGTTGGGAGATCGGGCCTGAGCACCTCCTCAGAGAGAAGTTGCCATCCTTGCCTTGGCCTTTCCAGAGCACTGTAAGCAAGGGGTCAGGCACAGCCCCAGTGCGGGCGGGGTTGGTTGCCAGCCGGGCCCAGCCTGTAGCCGTGTGTTGAACAAAGACGGTCTGGTGGTTTTCCCTACGATGCTCCCACTTGAGAGTTCCCTTCTGGTTGGGAGACAGGATTTCTTAGCACCTTTGGTGTCAAAGGCTGTCTTGGGGTTGTGCCAGTTCATTACCAGACGTTGAGCCTGTGGGCTGTAAGTGGGAGTGTTACCCCCATGAGCCTTATCTCAGACAGTCACCTTCCTAGACAATAGGAGCGGCTTCCCTCTCATTCCTTCTCTTCACTCCACTTTTCTCGTCCCCCGTTCTGCATCCCACTGCTTTCCCGTGCTCTCTGGGTGGTAGGGGAGAGTGACTCCCTGCTCGAGGACACTCCCTGTTGGGCATAGGATGTGCCTACAAAACGTTCCCTGAGCCTGTAAGCACTCCCAGTGGGGAAGTGGACAGGAGCCATTGGCCATAACCAGACAGAATTTGGAGACATTTTCATAAAACTCCACTGAGAGTTTTAAAGAAATATATGTAGCATGATTTTTTAGAAGAGGAAGATTATTTAAATAGGAGTTGAATCATGCAAAAACCAGAGTATCACAACCAGGGTAACCCCTGGGCCCCATTCCTAGGACGTGATAACTTTATTTTCCCCTTGTTAAGACATAGGAAGACTTAATTTTTCAATGGTCAGTGTCCAGTTGAAGGCAGAACACTAATCAGATTTCAAGGCCCAAAACTTGGGGACTAGACCACCTTGTATCGAGGGAACTCTGCCACCTGCACAAAATCTATGGATAAAGTAAATTAAATGACACTACTGCCCTGATTACTCCCTAGGATGTGGTCAAAACAGCATCAAATGTTTCTTCTCTTCCTTTCCCCAAGACAGTGTCCTGAACCTGTTAAATTAAGTCATTGGATTTTACTCTGTTCTGTTTACAGTTTACTATTTAAGGTTTTATAAATGTAAATATATTTTGTATATTTTTCTATGAGAAGCACTTCATAGGGAGAAGCACTTATGACAAGGCTATTTTTTAAACCGCGGTATTATCCTAATTTAAAAGAAGATCGGTTTTTAATAATTTTTTATTTTCATAGGATGAAGTTAGAGAAAATATTCAGCTGAACACACAAAGTCTGGTTTTTCCTGCCCAACTTCCCCCTGGAAGGTGTACTTTTTGTTGTTTAATGTGTAGCTTGTTTGTGCCCTGTTGACATAAACGTTTCCTGGGTTTGCTCTTTGACAATAAATGGCAAAGGAAGGTCCCCCCAACTCCATCGGGCCACTCCCCTCCTTCCCAAATCGAAGCTCCTGAAAAGGCTGCGGTAGGATCTCGACACAGCAGTTTCTTCTCTTCTTTCCTGCCCTGTCTCTCTCCTTTCTGGCACAGCTCAGTGCTGAGAGGTGGGAACCTACACTTCCCTCGTCTTTCCTCCTTCAGAGTTAGCAACCAAGCTGAATGGCAACCTGACATTTTCCATCACCATCTGCCTCATAGGTCACCTCGTTCCCTCTCCCTCTGCCCACCAAGTCCTCATGCCTGCAAAGACCCCCCCGGATCCCCCTGTGCCCTCTTTTGGGGCAGCCCGTTGAAACTGAAGCACAGTCTGACCACTCACGATAAAGCAGATTCTCCTCTGCCTCTGTCAGCTACAAGGTTTCAGAGCAGCGTAGTCCAGTGGAGGGCAAGGCACCTTTTCTCGCCTCGAGAAGCCCATTTCTACGGAAGGAAGTCTAGCGAAGCAATACGACTCAGCCCAGCGCTCTCTGCCCCAGGACTCGTGGCTCTGCTGTGCCTTCCATCCTGGGCTCCCTGTTCTTCCGTGACCTTAATTAAGAACTCTGGTGGCTCTGCTGGAACATTGTCACTGTTTTCACTGTCATGCAAGGAGCCCAGCACTGTGGCCAGGAAGGCAGAGACTCCCTGTCATCGTGGAGAAGTGTCAGCAGGGGGCTGGGGAAAGCGCTCTACCCAGACCTCACCTCCCTTCCTCCTTTTGCCCGTGACAAGATACAGTGGCCCAAGGGGTTCCACTAGTGTCTGGTTTCCTTTATTGCACTGTGTGAGGTTTTTTTGTAAATCCTTTTATTCCTATTTTTTTTAAAGAAAAATACCTTAAGCTGCATTTGTTACTGAAATGATTAATGCACTGATGGGTCATGAATTCACCTTGAGAAAGACCCAAAGGCCAGTCGGGGGTGGCGGAAACTCAGCTAAGTAGACCTAGTTACTGCCCTGCTAGGCCGTGCTGTACTGTGAGCCCCTCCTCAGCTCTTTCTACCAGTCCCAAACCCTGAGGCCAGGGGAGGAACCCCCAGCTCTCCTTCTCCTGCCAGCTGCAGATGGTTTGCCTTGCCTTTCCACTCCCTGTCAACCGCGGAAATGAGGAATTCCTCTTAGAGCTCAGCCTTGAGTCCATTGCCAAAATTCAGCGTACCTGCCAGCAACTTGGGGAATAAGCTAAGGTTTCCCTACAAGAGGGAAAGAAGGCAAAAAAAAAAAAAAAAAAAATGGCATAGCTATCTCCAAAACACCTCCGAGTTTCTTTTGAAAGTGACCAAGGGAATCTCCGCACAAAAGTGCAGACTGAGGAACTGTGGTGGGTCATTCCCAAGAATCCCCTAAGGGGCATCCCGAAGGGAGTAACAGCTGCAAACCTGGTCAGTTCTCAGTGACAGAGCCAGCTCACAGCTTTGCTGCTAGAACCTGTCGTGGCTGCATTTCCTGGTGGCCAGTGACAACTGTGTAACCAGAATAGCTGCATGGCGCTGACCCTTTGGCCGGAACTTGGTCCCTTGGCTCCCTCCATTACCGTCCGCCACCTCCAGCCCGGCCCCTCCTGTTTTTAGACCAATGACAAGAATCAAGGGGGAAGCCCTGGCAGCTACATATACGTTTTCAACCAGACTCCTTTGCCGGGATCCACTCCACCACCCCGCTTGCCTCTGTCAAACCCCCGGCCAATGCCGTGAGCACCATGCAGCTCCCTTGATTTAAGAAAAAAAAAAAAACAAAAAAAAAAAAAACAAGAACAAAAAAACAAAAAAAAAACCTTTTAATGAATGTATCTTTCTAAAGGACTGTCGTTCAATCAAATATCTGAAAATACTAAAGGTCAAAACCTTGTCAGATGTTAAGTTTGATTTGGGATTTTTTAAAATAGAAATCAAGTTGTGGTTTTTTTGGGTTTTTTTTTTTAAAGGAAAAGCGGGTCATTGCAAAGGGCTGGGTGTAATTTTATGTTTCATTTCCTTCATTTTAAAGCAATACAAGGTTATCTAGCAGATGGTTTTGTGCCGAATCATGAATACCAGTCAAGTCTCACACTCTGAAAACTTGCAACTTTTTTGTTTTGGTTTTCAAATAAATATAAATATGATATATATAGGAACTAATATAGTAATGCACCATGTAACAAAGCCTAGTTCAGTCCATGGCTTTTAATTCTCTTAACACTATAGATAAGGATTGTGTTACAGTTGCTAGTAGTGGCAGGAAAATGTCAGTCTGGCGCTCCTCTGATCCCCCCCCCAATGGAGGGGGACCCATCCTAAGGGGATGGCGGAACAGTCCATTTCTGGGATCAGAGAGAAATGCAGAAATGGTGTCACCTGGATTTTTTCTGCCTGTGAATGTTGCCAGTCAGTACCTGTACTCCTTGTTTCTCTATTTTTGGTTATGAATGTTGGGGTTACCACCTGCATTTAGGGGAAAATTGTGTTCTGTGCTTTCCTGGTATCTTGTTCCGAGGTACTCTAGTTCTGTCTTTCAACCAAGAAAATAGACTTGTGGTGTTTCTTTTATTGAACTTTTAACAGTCTCTTTAGTAAATACAGGTAGTTGAATAATTGTTTCAAAAGCTCAACAGATGACAAGCTTCTTTTCTAGAAATAAGACATTTCTTGACAACTTTATCATGTATAACAGATCTTTCGGTTTTTTTTCCCTTGTGTTCTTCCAAGCTTCTGGTTAGAGAAAAAGAGAAAAATAAAGGAAAAAAAATGTGTCTAAAGTCCATCAGTGTTAACTCCCTGTGACAGGGATGAAGGAAAATACTTTAATAGTTCAAAAAATAATAATGCTGAAAGCTGTCTACGAAAGACTGAATGTAAAAGTAAAAAGTGTACATAGTTGTAAAAAAAAAAAAGGAGTTTTTAAACATGTTTATTTTCTATGCACTTTTTTTTATTTAAGTGATAGTTTAATTAATAAACATGTCAAGTTTATTGCTGCACATGGTTGAACTTTCTTTTGGCTTTGGCTGAGGTGGCCTAATGGGAGGGGCGTGGCCCGTGACCTGATTACAAAGTCCCTTCCACAGTCCTTTCTTTTAAGGGGGAATCGTGAAATCATTTCCCACTCTACACTCAGGCCCCACTCTACACTGTCTCTCTTAACCATATTTTCTCCCCTTATTCATCAGTGATGTATGTTCAGGACCTAATGAACTCTGGATATGAGGAAGGGGTCAAGAAGACAAAGGAATAGTTCCTTTACTTTGTACATATCCCCCTTCTTCATCCACGGGTGGTCAAGAGTTGGCTTCTAACGAGTTCCTCCCAATCTATGAATATAATAAAATGAAAGCATTTCAGGGAGAGCCTGGGCAGTACCCTCTCTTTGCTCCACTCCACCTTAAAGCTGAAATGCAATTTATTTACTCTGTTTCTCCCTAGGACTGGGGTGGGGGTAGGGAGGCAGTTGAGAAATGTTTGTAAATGTATTCTGTCAAGCCAGGGTCACTATCCCCAGGTTAAAGGGGGCCGAGTTTACACTGCAGCCAAGGAGTGGTCAACACTCCTCATGTGGGCTGGTCCTCAAACGGACCTCCTCCCTCTGGATCAGCTGGGTGGAGGCTCGGCCCTCACCCCTTTTTCCTCCCTCTCACGGGGAGTCACCTTTTTGGATTTTGCAGTTGAGTACCATGGGGACTCCAAATGATCAGGCAGTGTTGCAGGCCATCTTCAACCCCGACACTCCGTTTGGAGACATTGTTGGGTTGGACCTGGGAGAGGAAGCAGAGAAGGAAGAAGGAGATGAAGGTCAGTATTCGACCTTGGAGTATAGCTCTCCACATTGGCTGGTCTGCTGCCTCGCTGGGGTGGCAGAGGTAGGTGGTCTTACGAGGGCCCTTGTTCCACGACCCTTGGATGACGATTGCTGATCCTCAGTGCACTGACGGGGGCTTGGCAAGGGTCACTGTGCCCAGAGGAGAAAGCCAGGTTTCTCCTCCACCACCCTCCTCTGAACTTACCTCCCCGCTCAGTTCACCCCATGGTCCAAGCTTAACTGTGCTGATGGGGAGAGGGGCCATGTGAAACGCTCACGTCTTTGTCACTACAGAGTATGTCACCCTCCACAGCAGGGAAGAGAGAAACAGGGCAGGGGGTGGCTCAGCTAAACGTCTCCAACCTAAGCAAGTATTCAGTGTCACACACCTTACAAGCCAAGCCCTGAGCTAATTCTTCCAGAGCGAGTGCGCTCACTGGCTTTTCCACCAGCCCCCAAGGGGGCCTGCTTTCCGCGTCAGGGGTTTTTGATGCCCTTTGTTTCTAAAGGAGTGAAACCTAAGCCTTAATGAAACTTCAGGCTGAAAAGCTGAGAGAAACACTGGAAATGGTTTTCATGACCCGGGTATGTCATGGAGGCCTTCCTGTTGGAAGCAGTGGAGTAGAACAAAACAGAGACAGGCTGAAGAGCCAGAAAGACCTGGGTTCAAATCCAAGCGGTGCAGCTTATGGGCGGTGTGACCTTGAGCAAATCATTTAGCTACAGGCTAAGGAGTTTGGGTTTCATTCTCTTGGCAGTGGGGAGCCAACCAAGGCCCCTTTCCCAGGTCCCTTTGGAACTTTAAGCAGTGCTAGCTCTCTGCCTTGCTGACCTCAGTTCCCCCTGCCCCAAACACTGCATCTGACTCCTGCTGTGACCTACACCCCTGCCCAGTCAGCCTTGGCTCGTGTCCCAGGTTTCCAAAGCCCCAGGTGGCTCTTGCTTCCTGTTTCCAACTGCACACCTGTCCCCTCCTGGCTCCCTCCCTGGCACAGATGGAGTTTTCCCTCGAGCACAGCTGGAGCAGGCCAAGGCCCTGGAGCTGCAAGGGGTGATGGCAGCAGAGGCTGGCGACCTCAGCACAGCCCTGGAGAAGTTTGGCCAAGCCATCAACCTGCTGCCTGAGAGGGCCTCGGCTTACAGCAACCGAGCCCAGGCCCGGCGACTCCAGGGAGACGTGGCAGGTGAGGGGAGAGTCCCTGGAGCCTGTGCAGAGGGGCCGGGGAGGGCACAGACCAGAGGCGGTGTGTCTGTGGGGCTTGGGCGTGGGGCGTGGGAAGTCACTAAGCCCCTCTGGAACGTATGCCTCTACCCATAAGAGACATACCGTGGGCTCGGCTAATTTCTTCGGGATATTGTGAGAGTCAGGGGGACTGCATTCCATTTACTTATTGATAAAAATTTAATGAGAGTCTACCATTCTAGCAGTGGGCTAGGTGCGGAGGATTATAGTGCTTATAGCAATTACTGTGTGCCAGGCACTCAGCACTTCACATGTGAGTTGTAGTCATTCGTATCATCCTCACAACAACCCTAAAAGGTACGTGCTATTCTTATCTCCATTTTACAGATGAAGAAACTGAAGCATGGAGGTTAAGTAGCTTCCTACTCACACAGCTGAGAAGCGGCAGAGCTGGGATCTGGTCCAGGTGGCAGGGCTCCAGAGCCTGTGCTCTTAATCCCCACATGATAATGCTTCTCAAGAAGCTCACAGCCTAGAGGGTAGAACAGACACATAAACATAATAGCAGCATAACAAGCTGACAGGGCTCAGCATGGGATCTGTTCCTGAGGGGTGAGTTTTGAAGGATGAGTAGGCGTTAGCTGGACGGAGGGCAGGGAGTGGGAGAAGGCACGGCCTGTAGAGGTCCTGAAGTCGTGGACAGGTACAGGGAATCTGGCTGGAAAAGGGAGTGCCGGAAGAATGGAGCCTCTCCAGAGCCTGGAGAGGTAAACAGGGGCCAGAGAGTGAACAACTGCGAACGTTAGGCCGAGATCGGACTTTGTCTCGAAAACACTGGGAATCACTAACGGGTTTCAACTAAAGGGTAAACCACAGAAGCCTAGTTGGGAACTACTAGACTATCGAGACCCGTGGTGGTAGAGGTGTTCCTGGGGCCAGGAATGCCAGGCTGAGGAGTTTGCACTCCGTTCTGGGAATATTGGGGGACTCTGAGGGCCTTTCCCAGGCTTGTCTGCCACTTGGCTTTGGCAGAGCAGGGCCATAAAGGCTGCTGGGACAGCCTGCAGACCAAAACCCCAGACAGCATCAGAGGGGATTCTGCCTGGAGAAGGCCTTCAATTCCTCCTGACCAGCTCCTCTGAGGGAAACCAAGGAATGCTGTGATTAGAAAGCTTCTCAACCGACCAGTCAGGATGGGGAGCAGAGCCTCTGCTGGGTTCCAGGGACCAGAACACAGAGAGAGAGAGCAGGGAAGATCAGCCTCGCTGAGGATGCTGCTGGCGCTCCCCCAGCGCCCTGCCCTGACAGGCGCTATAGTCTAGAGAACTTGAGTGAATTGAAGCAGAGCCCAGAAGAAATGCAGCTCGGTACCCTCCAGTGGATACCAGCTGGCTGCCTGAGGTTGAGTTCACAGCTCTGATGCCTAATAAGCCAAGTATTTATGAGGATGATAAAAACAAAAATGCTGCAGGCCAGCTCTGGCTCCAAGACCTCTTTCAAAGAAAATTAGATACAAAATAATGAAGACCATGGAAATAAAGAATGAGAAGAGGCAGTCAGTAGAGAACACAGGTGAGAGAAGCGGTTTTAAGGCATCAATGGAAAAGAGGAGAGAAATGTCTTCAAAAGTTAGAGAGGGACTTCCTTGGGGGTCCAGTGGTTAAGAATCTGCGCTTTCACTGCAGGGTCACAGGTTCAATCCCTGGTCGGCGAATTAAGATTCCGCATGCCCCGCGGTGCGGCAAAAAAAAGGACTTTATTGTATAAGACATGGTTGTCAGTTAATTCTAATGTTTTTGGACTCTGGGATTCGGAGTCAGTCACCTGGCACATGGTAGATGGTTAATAACGTATGCGCGCCTGGCAACAGGGCCAGATTCATAACATAGTGACCCTCCGTCCGTGTTTTGATGTATCAGATGGTGGAAAATAACACGGACAAGGCGAGACCTGGACTTCAGTCCCAGCTCTGCCACTAACTGCTGTGCAGCCCAGGCCGAGTCTTGCCAACTCTTCCAGCCTTCATCTGCGTAAAGGGAATAACAATACCGATCTCTAGGGTCAAGTCTAGGCGGGATGTAAACGGCCGAACCCCAGAGCCTCCACTCGGGGCCGGATCGCTTGCTGGCCGCGGCCCTGACCCCCGCCCGTCCGTCGGTCCCGCAGGTGCCCTGGAGGACCTGGAGCGCGCGCTGGCGCTGAGCGGCGGCCGGGGTCGCGCCGCCCGCCAGAGCTTCGTGCAGCGCGGGCTCGTGGCGCGACTGCAGGGCCGGGACGACGACGCCCGCGGGGACTTCGAACGGGCGGCGCGGCTGGGCAGCCCGTTCGCTCGGCGCCAGCTGGTGCTGCTCAACCCGTATGCGGCGCTGTGCAACCGCATGCTGGCCGACATGATGGGGCAGCTGCGCGGGCCCCGCGACCGGCGCTGAGCCGCCGGCGGGCGGGCGTGAGGGAAGGGGGGCGCCCGCAACCAATAAACCTGCCGGCTCTCCCAGCCACCGCCTGTGTCTGCATCCTCCGCCGTCCCTGCAGGGAAGGGCGCTCAAGTATCCCCCGCGCGGGAGGCTGTCTGCGAGGCCCGGGATGTGGCCCCGGAGCCGCCGCCCTGGGGTAGGGTGGGCGGGGGGGGGTCCTTCGGGCCGAGGTCGGGCATCGATTGGCCCTGCCTGGCGCAGCCCGAGCCCCTGCGGATGACTGCAGTACTCATCAGACCTGAGCAGTCGCTCCGGCTGCTCTCGGGGATTGAGCCAGGTGAGCCGCACCGGAAGGCGGGGCGAGGCGGGGGCGGGCATGCTTCGCGACCCCCGCGTCCCGGATCCTCTTCTCTTCGGCCCAAATCCGGAGGAGGGGAGAAGGGGCGTAGGTGGGTGAGGGAAGCGGGCAGGAGAGAGCCGGGGTCGGGAGAAGGACGGTCCCTTTGGGGGAGGGGCACGTGTACCCGAGTGTTTACGCGCGCGCGCGCGCGTGTTTCTGGGCCGGGTGCGGGCTGCACGGTTGCAGGTTGCTTCTGTGTACCTGCGAGCGTGTGCCTGTTTGTCCCGTGGAGTCAGCGCTCAGTTCTGTGCCCGCAAGGTGTACAGGTACGTGCTGGCTGGTTTGGACCTTTGGGCTCGACCATTTGCGTCCTTGCCTTCACTACTGTGGATCATTCTACATTTGTGTTTCCGCGCATGGTTTATTTTTGTTTCTGGAGAGTAAATTCCTGGAGCAGTTATTAAGCTTGTCTGCTCTCACCTGGCTAACATCGAGGCCTGCCCCCTTCTCTCGGCAGCCTGGGGCCCAGGCCGGGGCCACCATGGCGCTGCCTCCAGGGCCAGCTACCCTCCCGCACACACTTCTGCTCCTGCCGGCCCTTCTGAGCTCAGGTACACCCCTGTTCATCCCTTGGCCATGCATTTGTGCGGTCAAGTCCCCCTCTGTCCCCTCCTTGCCTGCACCTTCAGTTTGGGTACCCATTCCAGGCACCAGAGTTGGGTTCCCTTCATCCACCTCCCCAAGGTCCAGCCGTCCCTGGTTAGAGAACCCAGGTGCTCTGTCTCTTGGCCTGCTGCCCTTCTGTAACTGGACCTCATCCCGGCCACAGAACAGTACTAAGCCTCCACCAGCTCTCCACAGAATCCCCTGTGTTCCAGGTTGGGGGGAGTTGGCGCCACAAATTGATGGTCATACCTGGGCAGAGCGGGCACTTCGAGAGAATGAACGCCACACCTTCACCTGCTGGGTGGCAGGGGGGCCTGGCACCCCCCGATTGGCCTGGTACCTGGATGGACAGCTACAGAAGACCAGCACCTCAAGACTGCTGAGCGTGGGCAGGGAGGCCTTCTCTGGAGGCACCAGCACTTTCACTGTCACTGCCCAGCGGGCCCAGCATGAGCTCAACTGCTCCCTGCAAGACCCAGACAGTGGCCGGTCAGCCAACGCCTCCGTCCTCCTCAATGTGCAATGTGAGTGCTTCTCAGGTGGACAGAGACTTGCCACCAGGCAAGTGGTCTGGTAGGACATTTAAAAAACACTTAAGCACTCTGCAAATATTAACTCACTTTATCCTCACAAAAATCCTATGAGGTAATTACTATTGTTGTCCCTATTTTACAAACGACAAAACTGAAGCACAGAGAGGTTAAGCAATCTGCCTAGGGTCATACAGCTGGTAAGCAGCAGAGCCAGGATTCAAATCTTGACATTTTGGTTCTAGTGTTTATACTCTTAATCTTCATTTGTACGAAATGCTGCCTCTCTGGCAGACCCAGCCATCCTGTTTCCCAGTGCCCCCTAAGGAGAGGTCCAGACCCCTGGCTCCCTTCTGGGTTTGGGAAGAAAGGGAAGGTGTGCAAGGGGCTGTGGTGGGAACATACTTCTCTCTGCTTTGCACCAGTTAAGCCGGAGATTGCCCAGGTTGGGGCTAAGTACCAGGAAGCTCAAGGCCCGGGCCTCCTGGTCGTCCTTTTTGCCCTGGTGCGTGCGAACCCGCCTGCCAACGTGACCTGGATCGACGAGGATGGGCCGGTGACTGTCAACACCTCTGACTTCCTGGTGCTGGATGCCCAGAACTACCCCTGGCTCACCAAACACACCGTGCAACTGCAGCTCCGCAGCCTGCCACAGAACCTGTCCGTGGTGGCCACCAACGACGTGGGTGTCACCAGCGCCTCGCTTCCGGCCCCAGGTGAGCACTGCCAGCCACGGGCCCAGCAAAGCCTCGGATGGGTGTGGGATCGTGGTGCAGAAACAGGAAGGCTTGTTGCCTTTTGGGCGAGTCTGGTGAAAGCTGTCCCTGGCCACCTGGGGCAAGGAGGACAGAGTAGTGACCTGTGGCATCTCAGAGTTGGGGGGCCCTGCCCGTGTGGAACCTAACCAGAGAATGACCTGCAGGGCTCCTGGCCACCCGGGTGGAAGTGCCACTGCTGGGGATCGTTGTGGCCGGAGGGCTTGCCTTGGGCACCCTGGTGGGGTTCAGCACCTTGGTGGCCTGTCTGGTCTGCAGGAAAGCGAAGAAGACCAAAGGTAGGGCCAAAGCAGGGCGGGGGCAGAGGGTGGCTGGGGAAGGGGAGGCGAGGTCAGGGGGTGGGCAGCAAGGCCATGGGCAGAACGTCTCTGACAAGTGGTAGGACAGGTCTTCCTGGGCATGGCCATGATTTAGACCACGTGCATCCCAGGTAGCAGGGCCAGGCACTGGGAAGCCAGTCTGGGCATCTGAGAGACCCCTTGCCTGAGGGTTCTGGGCCTGAAGAGAGCAGGGGGCAGAGCCCAGAGCAGGTGGGCACACTGAGACACTGCTGTGGTTTCTTTCTCCTCAGGCCCCTCCCGGCGCCCATCCCTGATCTCTAGGTAACTCTCCCTGGGGCTGTGTAGATGGGCCAAATGGAGAGGCAGCATGGGGACAGGGGGGATCCTGGGCTTTCTGGTAGTTCGGGAACGGGCCGCAAGCAGGAGTCTGTGTCCGCTGGTGCCAGGGCCCATCCAAGCCTTTTTCTGCCCTGTAGTGACTCCAACAACCTGAAACTCAACAACGTGCGCCTGCCGCGGGAGAACATGTCCCTCCCGTCCCACCTGCAGCTCAACGACCTCACTCCGGACTCCAGAGGTACGTCCAGGACCCTCTGTTGGCCCCAGCTTTATCTGTGGAGGTGCTTCTGAGAAAAAGAGAGACCCTGGGCCTTAGGAGGGTCTAGACCCCGCTGGGCACACACCTCATCCCGGGCACCATCCCCTTTGTCACCCCACAGGGAAACCAGCGGACCAGCAGATGATGGCTCAGGACAACAGCCAGCCAGAGCTTCTGGATCCGGAGCCCGGCGGCCTCCTCACCAGCCGAGGTATGGGAAAGGGGCCTGCTGCCCGGCTCCCCGGCCCTTTTGCTTGTGCCAAAGGCCTCTGAATCCCCAAGGGGCAGAGAGTGGTCTCCCAACTTCCAAGTAATGAGGGTGACTGAGTCTCCTGGGATCTCTGACCTGCAGGTTTCATCCGTCTCCCAATGCTGGGCTACATTTATCGGGTGTCCAGTGTGAGCAGTGATGAGATCTGGCTCTGAGCTGAGGCCAAGACAAAGGGTGCATTCTTGGCCCCTGGGCACCCTCCCGGTCCTCCTCCAAGGCCTGGCCACATTGCCAACGGGAAGAGGCCATGCCACTGCCACTTTTGCTTGTCCTCTGGGTCACTGGTATCCTTGGCAAGGCTGCCAGGTGGACCTAAGCCCTTGTTCCAACTCTGGTTGAGGGCCTGCATGATTGCCTGTGCCCAGGCGGATGGGGCTGTCTGTCCAGGTGTGCCTGGAGGTCATCCAGCATCTAAGCTTGGCATGGCATGATCCTGTCGGCTTGGGGCAGCTCTGCCCCACACCGGTGCTCCTCAGCACCGTGTACAGCAGGCATGGGGCAAGCCTGGTTGGGAGGGCCCTGCACGTCCTGGATCTCCTTCCCATGCTATGCAGCTTTGTTCCCTCAGGGAAAATTTAGGACCCTGCTAGCTGTAGAGAACCAACCTGCCCTTTGCACAGGAACTCACCTCTGGCCCAGCAGCGCTGGCCAAGCACAAACCAGTTCCCTTTGCTGCATACCTCTCTGCCCCAGCCCCCTCTTGGGCATCACAGGTTATACATTGGACCTTCTCCACTTCTTCACTTGGCACTAGACTTCCCCTCTGGCCTGGGCCCTGGTGGTGCCAGCGCCTGGTGTTAGCACAAGAAAGGGGAAGAATGGGAGGTGAGAAGTCTGGTGCGTCCAGGCCTGCATGTAGCTATGCCTTGTTTTCTTACAGTGTTAGCACTTTAAGCACATCTTCCAGGGAGGGGGTGAGCAAGGGCCCCAGGGCCCTGTCTGGGGCTTCCCCAAGTCTGGCCTTTTTATGGTTCACTGTGAGTGCCCTGAGCCCTCGAGGTTGACGGGTTCCTGCTCAAAGTATCCACCCTGCTATGGGACCCCAGCCCTGACTACCCCATCAGCAGGAAGCTGTTCTTCCTGTCCCATCCTCTGTTCTTTAGGGGATGGCCGTAGTGGCACATAACTTGACAGTGCTGGAAACCTTAGGGGAACATGGAAAAAGCAGGGAGATCACATATCCCAAAACGACCCAAGAACACTTTTGAAAAGCAACGTGGAAAAGATTGCAGATTAACAGAGTGCAAAGTGTATTTTTCCCTTCTTGATATCTTGTTTTGTAATTTTTCTCACGTTACTGCCGAGGACAGTGCTGAGCACGTGGTAGATTCTCAATAAACTTGACTGAGTGAATGCTGTATATCTGTTTCATTCCCTCAAATATGTTTTTTTTTTTAACTGAAGTATAATTGATTTACAAAGGTGTGTTAGTTTCAGGTGTACAGCAGCGTGATTCACACACACACACACACACACATATTCTTTTTCAGATTCTTTTCCATTACAGGTTATTACAAAATATTGACTATAGTTCCCTGTGCTATACAGCAGGTCCTTGTTGTTTATCTGTTTTATATATAGCAGTGTGATATTCTACTCTTAAGTCTTTTAAATCTGGAAAAATTAAAAGACACAAAAAGAATTTATAGTGCATCAAGGTAAACATTTTTTAACACCATGTGGTCTGTTCTAATTGAAAGAATTACTACTTATCG